TATTGTTTGGTTAGGAATAAAATGTCACATTGTTTGGTTGGGAATAGAATGTTATATTGTTTGGTTAGGAATATAATGTTATATTGTTTGGTTAGGAATAGAATGTCACATTGTTTGGTTAGGAATAGAATATTACATTGTTCAGCTGGTAATAGAATGTTACAAAGGCATGTAAATATAGTCATGTATTTCGTTCAAGAAAGTACAATAGTTTTCGACGACTCGTGAATTAAAAATAAACTGAAATATTGATATTAATTATTGCTGTAGAAACAGATTCGTGTATTATTACATGTTCTTTTATATAGTCGATGAAAAATACATGGAAACAACAACAATAACAACCACAAAAAAACATTTGCCGAATATATTTTGTGGAGTAATTTAAATGTACCCTAAATTCAGTAAATCAATAGTTAAATGTAAACTGACTTATTTTGTGAAAATAGAATTATTTAAAAATTTCGATTGAATTTTCAGAAGAAAATTGTCTTCCCTTATCAGTTATTAAAATACCTCAGTATTATTTTTAATATATGATTATATTTACGAACCTAATATTAAGGACTATTTCACTGTACATTGTAATATTAAATTTGAATACAATTATATATATATATACATGTGCAAGTGAAAGAAAAAATGTTTAAGTTGAGATTATTGATTTATATAATGAACATTGTGATTAATGACTCATGAATTGGATATGATATTAATAATTTCATTTTGAAACATGTACTAAGTTATCATTTCAAATATATAAGTTGAAAAGAAATATAAGCTGTACTAATAATCTTATAAATACAAACAACTATTCAACAAATTCCAAACAAAAAATAACGTTAGATTAATCTAAGTTCACTTTATTCTTTGGATATACTGGTTGATCGTAAATGAGATTTTCCTAAAATTATTTCCACGAAGAAAATGCTTGCATTTAATAGAATGTTCATATCTGAAATTTTATGTTTAAAAATATTTTAATGTTATGTCGTAAATGTTGTTATTAAACTAAATTCATTTCAGTACAGGTTTATGAACAAGCTATGAGCCTAACTACGTAGTTGAAACATTACATTACAGGTGCAACGCCCGAACATTTCAATCACAAAAATTAGAAATTTCCTGTATTTACTCAGAAAAACGTCGACACGAATATCTTCGTATGTTAAAATGTAGAGTTAAACATGTCTTTTTAATCAAACAACAAATTAAAACATTACTGACTGACTGAACTAAACCTCCCTTCTTTTGATAATTGATGACTGAACCATTTTTAGGCTTAATTATCTGAAACATTCCCACTTTATTATAAAAGTTCTGATAACCCTCGTTCTACTTTTATCAGCTGAAAGTTGAAACATATATCATTAATTGAAATAAGATTCTGATTTCTAACCAAAGCTACTGTCACATATTTATTAACTTAACAACTTGGTAAAGAACCATTTCTTTTTCTTAAGCGAATACGGAGCCAGCTCACTTCTCACCTCTAATAACCATCTTAGAAAAATCTTGTAATCATCTTACTTTTGTTGAAAGGACTTCGAACATTTCAGTTTGTTTTCTGCAAACTAGTATGTTGTTCTAAGTTTCACGATCATGCAGTTGATAAAACCTACCCAGTTGAGCGCCTAGACTGTGATGTATCATTACAGTTGAGGAAACAGCCTATGGGTGTATTAAGGCATGAATGTAAGGCCATTTATTTAGACTAAAGATAAAATCGGGTCGAAAGCTGAATAGGTAAGTGAATAAACGACAACCTTAAGATGATGGATAATTATAATATAAGAGCATTATCTCTCCAAAGTTCGCGATGTATGAAATGTGTGGAACTATTCAATTATTATCCATCTTAACACTAAATTGTTTAGACGTTTAACTACCAATTAAGTTAATGCTAGCCCATGTCATATTGCCAGTGATTTAACTGGAGTAAATTCAACTGTCTAAGGCTCAGTTTAACTTTCCTTATGAAGGCACCAATTATAATATTTTTCGTTTCCTCATCCTCGGCACTCATTAACATTGTTAATGAAGAGTTAACTGTTTGAGTGTTATTAAGTCAATAAATCCTATCAACTAATGAAGATCCACGCAAATTCTTATATTTCTATGGAGATTATATCTACACAAGATTCATTATTCAACTATCACTTCTCTGGCTATTTTTATCTAATTTTTAGATGGTTGTTAAGACTTGTTCTTGACACAGCTTTTTCTTGTTATTTGGGTGTTTTAATGCTGAAACTACTGTGGCAGTTAGTTTTCTTAAAGTTGGTATTTTTATCTAGTTTTTAGATGGCGTATCAGGACTTGTTCTCAACATAGCTTTTTCATGGTTAATTGGGTGTTTTAATGCTGAAACTACTGTGGCAGTTAGTTTTCTTAAAGTTGGTATTCTTATCTAGTTTTTAGATGGCGTGTTAGGACTTGTTCTCAACATAGCTTTTTCATTGTTAATTGGGTGTTTTAATGCTGAAACTACTGTGGCAGTTAGTTTTCTTAAAGTTTGTATTCTTATCTAGTTTTTAGATGGCGTGTTAGGACTTGTTCTCAACATAGCTTTTTCATTGTTAATTAGGTGTTTTAATGCTGAAACTACTGTGACAGTTAATTTTTTAAAGTTGCTATCAGATCTTATAGATTAAATATGGTGAACCACCTTGAGTACTGCTTCCGAAGATTATTTTTTTTATAACTCATTACTACGTTACTTTTTCTAGTTACAATTAAGCTAGTTTTAATAAAATTACTTTTACCTGTGTGTATGTTTCATGCAGGTTCATACTAATATCATATGATTTAATAAACATATGAAAGAGCTATAGTTAAGGATATTGATTCAGTTAATAGAGAACTTCTGAAGTGAACATTGTGATGTATCTTAAAATGATATAATTCATGTTTTGATGATTATATGAAAGTTGAGAAAAAATGATCATCTATAACTTATAGAGCAACTTGTAACGTAAACATGGCAAATAAACTAAGTATCCCTAAGTCAGGTTATCCATACTCACTGCTACTAAGAAGGAATGTCTTAAGTAAATCAGAATATTTGAAGAAATTGAATTCAAAAAGTATCAAATCATAAGAAAGATGACATATTGATTACAATAAAGAATTCATCCAGTGATTCTGAGAAAACTCGTTACTTCTAAACCAAAGAGAGTGTCTAAACTTGGCTGGATAGAAAGAAACAATTTTAAGATATACAAATTTGTCGTTGAGCAAACAGTAATAAAAGTATTATTTATTATGTATATCTATACAAATTTGTCGTTGAGCAAACAGTAATAAAAGTATTATTTATTATGTATATCTATACAAATTTGTCGTTGAGCAAACAGTAATAAAAGTATTATTTATTATGTATATCTATACAAATTTGTCGTTGAGCAAACAGTAATAAAAGTATTATTTATTATGTATATCTATACAAATTTGTCGTTGAGCAAACAGTAATAAAACGTGTTTCAGAAGCACGATGCTCAACAATACAAAATAGCAAACAATACCATTAACTTCCAATACCAAAAATAAATTACTGAATTTCAAACCATTCAATTCCAGCACTCGAAGTAAAACACGTAGCTATAGAAACTCTTCACCTAGCCGAAACGTTTGTTATAACATGAACACAAAGACAGTTACAATGTTATTAGTTTAGTTGCCTAAGAATAGTGAAAACCAAAATATTTTAACTATAACGCTAGTGTTCTAGTTACGAGTAATCAGACTACTGAAGAACACGTGTACTGTCGCAGAGAAGTGGATATATATATATCGTTGTGGTAGGTGAAACACACGGAAATGTAGATATATGTATCTTTATATATATATATATATAACTATATCGTTGTGTTAGCTGAAACACGCGAAGAAGTGGATATACATATATATATATCGTTGTGCTAAGTGAAACACACGGAGAAGTGGATATATGTGTCATTATCGTTGTGCTAGATGAAACACGCAGAGAAGTGGATATATGCATCATTATCGTTGTGATAGATGAAACACACAGAGAAGTGGATATATGTATCATTGTCGTTGTGAGAGATGAAACACACAGAGAAATGGATATATGTATCATTATCGTTGTGCTAGATCAAACACACAGAGAAGTGGATATATGTATCATTATCGTTGTGATAGATGAAACACACAGAGAAGTGGATATATGTATCATTATCGTTATGTCAGATGAAACACACAGAAAAGTGGATATATATATCATTGTCGTTGTGATAGATGAAACAAATTAATACTAACAAACAGTAATATTTACACAGTTAAATAAATAGAACTATTTCATCTTCCAAATCAAATAAATATTTATTCTTCGTTTTTCTTTGATATTGTATATAGAATCACAACGTAATACATGCAATAGCTTTTATATATTGTAATGCATCACAGTTTACTATTATTTCTAGATGAGAAGCTTTCGGTCAATATTTGTATGTGGTCAATAATTGCACGTGGTCAATATTTGCACGTGGTCAATATTTCCTACACTCTTCTTGGTCACTGACTAGTGGGAGACGCAAGCCGGATATGAAATGCTAATTTTACTCGCCTCTCATGTTAAATCCGGGATGGACAAATTACGAAGAATGTGGAAAAACATTTAGAGCTTATGTGATTGTTTTATCACAATTTTAGGCCTATTGGTTTCTAATGATTCGCCAGCTTCACATTAATTCCTAAATATTTTAACTTATGAGGTAAAATATTTCCTACTAGCTGGAGTACCGGTCCCCTGGACGGAAGTTACTAGCTGGAGTACTCGTCCCCTGGACGGAAGTTATGTAAATTCATGATTAATGAAAGGTTATCTTAAGATATTAAAAACCGCAAAACTTAAATTTTGTATGTATCTCCCCATGGATCTAATGAACCTCCGTACCAAATTTGGTGAAGGTCCATCTACAGGGGGCGAAAAAGTGGTAAAAAACGCCCATAAAAACCGCCAAATGAAAAATTGAAAATGTGTATGTACCCCCGCATGGACCTAATGAACCTCCATACAATTTTTGGTGAAAATCCATTCACACCCTGCGAAGTAGTTACATGGACAGACAACAGACAGTACTATTATATCTATATGGATATACTTCTAAATTTGCAATAAGTAGGTGTTAATTTTGAAATAAAGTGCACAGTTCTAGGACTATTTAATAATAAGTGTTTCACATATTCTGGTATCTTAAGCTATTGGTAATTTTTCGGTTGATAATGTTTCACGAACGGACAACAATAAATGTGCTTACCTGGTTGAGTGGCAGTGAGCATAAACCTGATATGACCTCAACGCTCATGTAAAATATATGAATATACGGGTTAAATTATGTTCTGGTAATTAATTCCTTTACATTTCAATAAACTTTTGTTTAGAGAAAAAAACAATCTATCCAGTCAAAATGGTCCAACATGGCTCATCGTCAAATATTTCAAATTTACATAGCTTGTTTCGAACAAAACTTCAAATTCCTTAATTTATACGAATACAGGTGTATTTATTATAATATAATAGGTACTGTTTCGCACTATTGTTGATTAATTTATGGTAAAATCCACGTGTTTGCTTTCATGTTTTTGTTATTAATTTTTGATAATAACTTTTCTTTACGAAAGCTGCCACCAACAATGGAGAGGAAAACAGGTAAGAAGAAGATACAAAACTTCATTTAGCTTGTCCGTTGTCACGGCAACAGCCGTTTAACAACTAAGGTTGCCAGTATCTTTATTGTGAAAGTATACACGAGATTGTGACATTTCACTGTGTATATTTATCTTCTCGTTTTGTACTTCAAGTATGTATGAAAAACTGTTTTCAGCGAATACATCGAAATAACTAGCAAGTATGCGTAGCACACTGAATACATCGAAATAACTAGCAAGTATGTGTAGCACACTGAATACATCGAAATAACTAGCAAGTATGCGTAGCACACTGAATACATCGAAATAACTAGCAAGTATGCGTAGCATACTGAATACATCGAAATAACTAGCGAGTTTGCGTAGCACATTGAATACATCAAAATAACTAGCATGTATGCGTAGCACACTGAATACATCGAAACAACTAGCAAGTATGCGTAGCACACTGAATACATCGAAACAACTACCAAGTATGCGTAGCACACTGAATACATCGAAATAACTACCAAGTATGCGTAGCACACTGGTGCCGATTAGTATCAAGGTGACTTAAAACGAAACTTCTTGAATGTTTTCACTTGAAATAGTTTTAATCAGATGTTGCGCTCATGATAAGCATTTTAGTTTTCTTTTTTCGTCGTGTCTTCAGATAGAAATTTATAGGACCAGTCATAGACTGAATATTTTAAATCTCGTTGATTTTACAATATTATTTCCAAAGAAAGATAAAGTTTAATAACATTATTTATTTACAACAGAAGGGAACACAGATAAACGTTTCGAACTTCTGCACATTCAATTTTGATTACGTCTATTACTAAGTTAAACCTTGTTTGGTAATAAAGGAGCTGTCTATTTAGAATTTATTTATCTGTAATTCAGTGGGAAAAAAAGTAGCGGTTGAGAAAAATAAGCATTTTTAGATTGTCATACTTCTGTTACAGAGTTTATTGGTTATATATTCATTAAGCCAATACTCTCGTCTCTACGATCCTTCGCTAGTTAATAATCAAATATCTTATAAGTGTATGTATATGTATTATATAATAGAAGTTATTCATATATAACCTTCATCAGTCCTCTGACTGTTCATAGCTCATAAATAAATGGCTTGATACACATTAACCACTAGAGGTAGATTCTCATTGAGTTGTAATACAATCCTCTCTTTGATTAGTTGTAAATGTGGTGATTTAATTTTAATTATAGCGAGACTACACCATGCAACATACACTAAGGGTTATGTTCGTTTTGTTGTGTTGCAGTACGTCTTGTTTTACCTTGAAGTTAGTTCCAGAATTCTTCGTTTGTCCATCATAAATATAGCTTTATTTAATCATTAATTTGATCCAAGAGTAATCTATCTCTTTGTTATTCAATTAATCTATTTATTGATGATTTCCTAGAGTTTGTTATACTATTTGGTTTGATTCAGATACAACATATTACTGTGTCATAAATGCTTGAATACATTGCAGAGTTATTGAGACAAAAGAAAAAAGAGCTTATCCCTCAAATAAATTATCAAAATTTAATTTTGTAAGAAAAACAGAAATATTTAGTCCAAGTTTTGGCTAAACGAGTATCACCGTGGTCCCGATGAAGGTCATTGGGCCGAAATGATGACCACACTCTTTCTGCATGTTTTATAAATGGAATAGCTGACTCGACATTTCCTTGATTTTTCTCTTGAAGCATACTGCTTTTAAATGTCCTCCCAGTGAGGCGGAGCAGCGAAGTTCGGAAAATTGCGATTAAGCGAACTGAACAAAAGGACTGAACATAAGATTGTGTATCAGATTTAAAACTTCTATAAACTCGGTTTAAAACCTGTAAAGTACCTTAATAGTTCTTTCTGTTTATTTATTCGTTCTTTCTTTCCTTTTGCTGATCAAAAATGTTGAATTATTATCTCAAACCTTAGAAAATGCGTCCCTAGATTTGATCCGAAACGTGTGTAGCTTATCATAAACCGTTAAAATCATTAAACGTGTTAAGCTAAATTACCGTTTTTAGGAAAATAATGAGTATACTTTTATATAAAAAAGCTCTAAAGTTATTCCTAAATTTATTTTATATTTGTGGTGTAGTTAGCATAAGAATACTTATTTTTGATTATAGCTACAAATTTATCGAAAAGATTTCGATGTTAATTTGAAAACTTCCGTGTGTGTGTGTGTGTGCGAGAGAAATAAATATGATAAATGAACATTACAAATCACAGACTTCCACGAGCTTGTCTACCACACACACACACAAACCAAACACGTACTATTTAATACTTCCAGCTTCAATGATGATAAATGAACATTACAAATCACAGACTTCCACGAGCTTGTCTACCACACACACACACACACAAACCAAACATGTACTATTTAATACTTCCAGCTTCAATGATGATAAATGAACATTACAAATCACAGACTTCCACGATCTTGTCTACCACACACACACACAAACCAAACACGCACTATTTAATACTTCCAGCATCAATGAACTTGTATTCGGCACATAAGCTCAAAGTTCAGGTCAGAGACCTTTAAAGTTCAAACATAGCCATCCCTACCACAGAATGAAGACCAGAACGAGGGTAAACTTCGACTACTCCTAGTTGAAATGCGGGATTGACTATCACAGTTATAACTCTTCTAACCAGCAGCGGATTTATTATCACAGTTATAACTCTTCTAACCAGCAGCGGGATTTATTATCACAGTTATCTAGCTCCCCTCACCAGTAGCAGGATTAATTATCACAATTATATAACTCTTCTAACCAGCAGCGGGATTTATTATCACAGTTATAATTCGCC